GAACGAACAGTGAGAGAGAGCTTCAGTGGATGTATCACTTTATATAAACTTTAACAGATTATATTTATAATGAGAGTATCTACACAGATTAATGGATAATATTTACCAGAGATAAAAGCGCTGGGAGTTGACTTGCAGCTAATCGGAGGAGTGAAAAGAAGGAAAACTAGAAGAAAATATGTTATGAATGTAAATGGAATGATTAGAAGAACAAACATGGAATAGTGTATAAATTTATGGCATTAATGACAGAATATTTAGCACAAAAGCGACGAGACGTCCCTGAAGTAACTCATTTGAAACTCATCCACACAATGCACATTTGCTCACTCTCTCTCTGTCTCTGTCTCTGTTTTTACAGCCAATCCGGATGCTTATTATCCCCTCGACACGAAGCTCACATTCATCAATGCCCACGATGTGGTGCGACTGCCAGCGACGGGGGAGGAACACGCTGTGAATCGTCAGAAGCGTGGGGCGCCCGATGGGGCAGCGGTAGACTTGTCGGCGGCAGCAGCGTCATCAGTGGCAGCAGCAGCATCGGCATCAGCATCAGCATCAGCATCAGTGGCACAACCGGCTGGCATAACGCCGGATGCCAAGAGTCAGTATCAGAGCGTAAATGTAAATACCAGCGCGGAGACGACACTTACCACCGTCGACAGCAAGACGGGTGCGGGCGCAGCGGGTGGCAGTGTGTCCTACAACGTGCACAATGTGGGTGTCAATGGTACCGGACAGCGCAAGGACTACAGTGTCCAGAATGCCGATGGATCATCGAATACCGCGGCCACCGGCACCACCATCAATGTGTCGGCCAAGAAGCCCACCCAGCTGATGGGCACCCAATCGCAGTATCCCAAGAAGGTGGCCGCTTCCTCGCCGATTGTGCCGCTGCAAATACCGCTGCCGGCTGGAGCTGCCAGCAACTCAACGGACTGGCCGGATGTGGATGTAGCTGATGTGGATGTCTCCGAGGAGGTGATCAACAAGGGCATCATCAGCGAGAATCTAAACCGCACCGAGGACCATCACCAGTACTACAACAGCACGCTGTACATCAATAAGGCGGAGGCTGCAGCGCTGTGGGCCCAGCTGCGTACAGTGCCCGAGAATAGTATGCTGTCCTCGTCGCATCGTCGCGCGATGACCGTTGAGCTGCAGTTCGATTTCCCCTTCTATGGGCATTATGTGCGCAACATAACAGTGGCCACCGGCGGCTTCCTGTACACCGGCGAGTATGTCCACTCGTGGCTGGCTGCCACCCAATATATTGCACCACTGATGGCCAATTTCGATACGAGCATGTCCTCCGATTCGGTTGTGCGTCTCCACGATAATGGTGAGCATTTCGAACGAGCTACCAGCGCTGTAGCGCCATCTAATTTCTAATTCTGAATTCTGTAACGCCCAGGTACCGCCTTTACGGCCGTCTGGGAGAACGTGAGGCTGCAGGATAAGCCGGATTATGGGAAGTTCACGTTCAGCGTGACCCTACACCAGAGCGGGGACATTGTGTTTGGCTACTTCCAGGTGCCCACGCAAATCAATTCGATACAGGACAACCAGCATCCGGTCAAAGTGGGCCTCTCGGATGCCTACATCATTGACAAGCAACTCTACTGTAAGTGGACAACAAATATACTTTGTGTGCAGCCCCCTGATGTGTGTGTGTGTGTTTTCTCTGACAGTTGCCCGTCGTAAGACCATCTATGAGTACCACCGCGTGACGTTCCAGCAAAAGGAAATCACCAATGACACCATCATCATACTGACGGCCCTGCCCACCTGCCTCGGCTACACTGATTGCCAGGCGTGCATTAATCATAACACAACCTTTGCCGTAAGTTCTGTAATCTGTATTCTGTAATCCTAACTCTCAACGTTTTGTCTTTCGTTCACAGTGCTCCTGGTGCCCGGCGCTGAATCGCTGCTCCACGGGCACCGATCGCAAGAAGCACGAATGGATTCAGAAGGGTAAATGGGCGGGCGGGCAGCCTTGGCCATTCAATGTATTAATTCAAATCCATTTACAGGCTGCGATACAGCTGCCATTCATGATGCTGGCACTTGTCCGGCACTAGGCGGAAAGGGCAACAATGCCGGGCAGGAGAAGGCCGGCACTGCGAGCAGCTCGTCCACCTCCTCACCAGCCAGCTCGGCGGCAACGGAGCCAACGCTGAGCAGTACGCGAGCACCGCGGGCAACGGCTCAAACCAAGACAGATGCCAGCAGCAGTGGCAGCAGCAGCAGTGGCAGTGGCAGAAGCAGCAGCACGGCGGAAGGGAAGCTCATGAATGCCGATGAGCTGTCTCAGGCGCATGCCGACAACAAGAGCGTGGGCATGGCATTTGGCTTCATGGTGCCCATTTGCATGGTGTTTGCCGCGACGCTGTGGCTCTTCTATGCGTACCGCAATCCGCACACGAAGAGCGGTCAACTTTTAATTCAGGTGAGTGCCGTCGCCTTAAGGATCTTTTCTATTATCAAAAATCCCCATGGCGTTATGCATTTCTTACAATTACATGCAGTCCAAGCATTTGCATCAGGTTGGTTATCTATAAGCAAAGATCTGTGATATCTACAGAGTATTGTGGCTAATACTAAATCGATTTTATTCTCTATTGTTTAATCCTTTAGTTCCGTCCCAGCCACTGGTCTTGGAGGCGCGGCGAGGCGCGCTATACTGCAGCCACGATACACATGTAAAGAGAGTGTGAGACGACATGTACACCAGCGAGATACCCAGAGAGATGACAGAAGCGCGACAGACACAGTGACAGCGGCAGAGATGGAGAGAAAGAGAGAGAGAGAGAGAAGAGATCGCATGAGAGAGAAAAAGAGAGTTGCAGCAAAAACGACAGACAAAAATGTTGATCGAAAACCAGAAACCGAAACTCCCTCCCAATTCCACCCCGAAAATCAAACATAAAACAAAACATAAAAAATAACAAACAATTTGGCAATGGATATATTTGTTGATTGATCACGCGGAAAAGACAAATTGAAAATAATTAGAACTGATTTTAGACATTTTTCGGCAGAGAAATAAATTAAATAAGGCAAGACAGAAATGGAAACATAACCCGCAATACCCCCTAGTCCCCAATCCCTACTCAATCCCCCAACCGAATTGCTCAAAAAAGACGACTGGCAACAGCATGAAGTGATTGATCCTTTAGTGTTTTTTTTTTTCGGTTCTGTTTTTAACAGAAATTATTCCCCTCCACAAGATCCCAGCACATACTCTTACGTACTCCAACAACAACAGCAACACACACACACTCACACACACACACACACACACAGGGCAAAGTGCTTTCAATTGTTTTCCTAGTTCAATTTTTTTTAGGTCTCTTATTATATGTTTTATTTAATTCTTTTTTTAACCCTTAACAAATGAGAACCAAGCGATCGATGGAGTGATATTGAAGCAGAGATCGAGGGGCAGAGTATATATATATGTATATTTTATATTGTATATTTTGTTTGTGCCGCAGCGTTCCTCCACAATTTCGTGTATTTCGGATTTCGTTACGTTTCTTTGACAACAACAAATAACGAGAGACAGACAGACATACAGACAGACAGACAGAGAGAGAGAAAGAGAGAGATAAATGTTTCTAAAATGTGTGTTTTTATTAGTAGTGGCTTGGCGAATAAGGATATAACAATTAATCGCACCGAATGAATGATGAATGTATTATTGTGAAACGAAGAAAGAGAAAAGCAGAACCTTGATGCCAATTTTTTTTGTATGTGTATATTTTTGGTATTGTCTATATTTTGTATTATACGCGATTTGTATGCCGCAATCGTATGGATAGTTACACTTGCATATTGTATTTATATTCAACAATATTAATATCCGTGGATATATACATACACATACATACGAGACGACCTCTTCTTTTTGTTAGTATTTTTTTCTATTAACTAATATTACAAATAAAACAAAAACAAAACAAATCTAATGGTACATATATAAAGAGAAGGAAAGAGGGAAAGGAAAGGAAAGGAAAGTAAAGAGAAAAACATAAGCTTAAAACTATAAAACTAAACAAAAACAAAATGCGGTGTGCAAAGCTAAAACTAAAAATCCATTCAAATTTGATCACTAAGCAAAACCCACTCGGAATACCGGAATAACACTATATCAAAATCAAAAACAAAAATCAAAATCCAATGATGTGAACTGAAACAAAAAAGAGAAAAAACACCGTCAAATGAATCCAAAATTGAGATCCCCCCAAGCATACAAGCGACAACAACTAAGGAAATTGTATAACAATGTATTTTGATAAAGAAATTAAATTTGTATTTTAAGCTCTTATTATGTATACATGATAATTTAAATAAAAACAAAACACACAAAAAATTACAACACACATCGAAATGTATTTATAAAGCGAAGAATGTAATTTTTGTGCAGCCATCGACACCGATCGACGCATCGGCACACAGATGAGTAAGTAAATGTATAAAAAAATAAGGTGCAAAAGTAACATTTATACCATTTTTAGCTCCCTCAGGCCTCTGATGCTTCAGTCATGTGATATAACTAAGAGATTCCACTGAATAAATCTCTCGGCAAACACTTGAGGAACCCAACAAGACGCCATATTTGGGGGCAAAGAAAGAAAACCCTACAACTAAAATAGTTCCGAGTATTCCCCAAAGACCAGTAACATATCAAATAATAATAATAATTGTTTAAAAGTGTTCTGAGCTTGCATTTTGGCAATGTAATTTGATATTGTTTATGCCTGCGCCACTTTTGATGGCAGCGAAATGGCAGCCAGTGGTCGAAATGCATTACCTTTGAATGCAGCCTATAGCCAAGGGTCTACACATATACTAGCTCTGTTTTGAAATCTCATTAGGCGTGTGCTTTGTCTGCAGCTGTATCGTTCGATTATCAATCTAGAAAATAGAATCTGTTGCCCCTTGTTGCTCTTTAATCACAACCCCACTGGCATTGAAACAACTTTTGTGCAGAGTTTTCCTTGACATTCATTTATCTAATTTTCCAAATTCAAAATTGTATTCCTTGGACTATGCGTGTGGTTGGTCTTTAATTTCATTAGGTTGTGTGTTGCTTTAGTTAATGATTCAAATATTTGGTTTGTCATCTACCACCTCTACGGCTCGTACATTGAAATTCTCTCTAAACATTTACAGGATGTCCATGCGGGATGTGGTTAGGGCTAATGGCTAATGGCATTGTTGGGTGGCTCTGGCCTGGGTACATTTAGAGCTTTTGCTGGGCCAGCTCCTCGATGGTGCGGGCATTGGTGAGGGTCACCCACAGCGGGGACTGGATGCTGGCCAGGGAGTAACTTTCGGCGGCGTCCAGCGACTGCGACTTTCGCATGGCCGCCTCGGTGCGGCGGGGAGAGCCACTGCTGCTGCTGCTGGCACCGCTGGCGGTCGCGCCACCACGACGACGATTACGCTTGGAGTCGCGCTTGCTAAAGGTGACGACTGCCTCGTCACCGCCGCCGCCGCCGCCGGCGCTGCTGCTGCTTGCGGCCCGCAGCTCCTGCAGGCGACTCCGCCGTTTGGACAGAGCCGTTGGATCGTGCGACTCCCTCACACTGGCCGTCTTCCGCAGCTGCGGTGGCAGCAACAGCTGTGACGAGGTCGTAGCGGGTACATCCTGAGACTGAGCCTGAAGATGGGTCTGGGAGTGTGCCTGAGGCTGGGGATTTGCTGGAGTTGTTGGGGCCATCGCTGTAAGTGGCTGCTGCTGCTGTTGCTGCTTCGTGGCCAAATGTTAGCTTGAGGAAAAGGACATCTTGTAGGAGGTGGTGTCCATGGGCGACTCGGGATTGAGAATTTCGGTCTGCGTCTGTTCCACATCGCTGCAGCGCTCCTCCAGCACGGTGTCCAGCTCCAGCGAGGTGAAGCCCTGGCTTAGGCTTCGTTCAGGACGTAGACTGATAGCTCGCGACGATCGGTAATCTATGTGTGTGGGGCGAGATCAAATCAGTTCGAATCATCAGTAATTCGGGCATTCAGGACAATGCTCCTGAGTGGGTGGCTAGGATATGCGGCAGGTGTGGGAAAGATTGATGGCGACAAATTGAAAACGTGCGACGGGCAGGTGGCAGATGGTAGATGGTGGATGGCTGGCCAACTCCAACTCCCACTCCCACTCGGGTGTTGTGTCAAGAAGTGAAAGATGTGCAAGTGCCACGCGATGGGGTAGGTGGGGCAGGAGTTGGAGTTGATTTATAGCACTCTAATTTGATTTATTCGCTGTTAAAATGGTCATGTTTATGGAGTTTACACTACGCACAGACAGACACCAAAGAGCATAGTTAAAACTGTTTATAGTTCAAGACTTTGAGCCCTAACTATGGACTGAAGATGTTCCTTATTGCTGGATTCAAACTCAAAATGAGTGCCAGCCTAAACGTACTTGGAACTATTTGATTTCTACTCTTTCTTGAGTGTATTATTCACGCACATTTCGGTACAAAATGCAGCAATCCATGTATTATATTCAGAAATATTGTCTTGCTATTTGAGTGCCCAAAGTATAGATTGAAGAAATCAAAGCTTACAGCATTTACAGCCGGTAATACTCGTAGAACTTTCATTTGTTTTCTTTTTTACTGGAAGAGCTGCCTGAGTTCTGCTGCTAATGCTATTCCTTCTGCACAGATTCCTGTTTTGGGATTCTCTTGCTTCGCTTTCGCCATTTCCGATGCTCACTCGAAGGGTAAGGAAGGGCATTATTTCCGATTCAGCTGCTTCGACCGCACAGTTTGGATTCTTGGTCGCAGGATTTCCACTTTTGAGCTTCAGGAGTTTTCCTCCAACAAAAGTGTGTGCCATAATCTATGTGTGTGTGTGTGTGTGTGTGGGAGCAACGTATTTTGGGGTTGGCTTTTGCGGTGCTTCGTAATTGTTTTGCGAAAATGTATGCAAACAAGATGTACGAGTGTGTGTGTGTGTGTGTGTGTGTGTGGGGGGTCACATGAATGTATTGTGTGTGTTGTGTTCTTTGGGGGGGGGCCAAGGAGTAAAACAACCGAAAACAAGTGTAGTTTGTGGCTGTCACCCACATCAGCCGCAGCATCATCATCATCATCATCATCATCATTGTGGTGGTGTGGTCGAGGCAGTGCTACTCTATGAGACCTGAAGTGGCATCTCCTCGCTCTACTGCTGCTTGGCGCACTGAATATGAAATTTACAGTTATAAAAAATGTTTGCTGCGTGTGCGTGCGTGCATAAAGCAATGAAATCCTCATACTCCGTCCTCAAGCCGACTGTCGTGGAGAGAGGAGAGAGTGGAGAGTGGAGAGTGAGAGCGGGTTACACGCGGGCATGTGAATGTGGCAGGTGGCAGGTGGCAGGTGGCGAAATGGGCGACGGCCCCATCTCCGGCCAGCTGTCATCAGGGCGTGTTGCTATGCTAAAAAGGCGGGCAACAGCGCCTCTCCCCCATTCGCAGCTTTTTTGTATTTTTATATTCTGTTTTTTTTTTTCCATACCCGCTACACGTTTAGGATAAGGATAAGACGTTGGTCGTTGTATCTACTCATAAGACTGCGTAAGAGGAAGCCACAACATAGAGCAAGTACATAAATGTGTGTGCTTCTGATTACTCTCTCTCTCTTCCATTTGCCAGCATATAAATATCTATTACCCATTTATCGCTTTAGCAGTTAACTACACGGATCTGTCTTTATTTTGCATTGGCTTTTTGTTCCTTTTGTTTATGCATTCTATTAGGGCGGAGTACAGGGTAACTAACGTACGAGTATAGTCCATTAGGGTGCTTTTTTCTTGCTGTTGTTTGTGTGCTGAGCTGCCGCTGCCGCTGCTGCTGCCGCTGCTGCTGCCATTCATTTGTTTTTGTTATATGCAAACGAGGGCAGGCGAGCGCCCAAAGGTATGCAATGCAAATGTACACACACACACACACACACACGCATACCCACATATATGACTGTTGGTGTGCGGAGCATGTTTTATTGAGTGGCTGGCAACTGTCGCCACCCTGCCACAGTATTCTTTCAGTTTTCTTTGCTGCCCTTCCAGCTCCTCCCTCCACGCCACACCCCAGGTACTCCCTGCCTGCGGGACGTCCATCTCTCTCTCTCTCTCTCTCTCTGCGTGCTAAAGTCAAGCTTGAAGCTCAAAGTTGATAGCTGGCAGCAGGCATTCGTAATTGATAACCCACTGGGCCGTGCATCATATCCATTGAGAATGGCAATTCGCTTTCAGACTGCCAGACTGCCAGCTAGAGAGATGCTCATTTGCAGCACGACAAAGACGCACAAAGCAAAGGTTTCTACACTATGCAACACTAACCCAACTTTATGCTGCCATAAACTACAGATATTTGTATTTAATTTCTTTGTTTCCTTCTCTGAGCTTCTCCTGTTTTCGTGCATTTAAAAATTTAAAAAAAAAAGTATTCCCCATATTTTTGTTTCGGCGGGGCAGCTGCTGGCTGGGAATCAGAACCAGTGCTGCACAGTGTTGTTTTTTTTTGTTTCTTTCGCTTATGCGGGCCGCTCTCTACCGGAAAGAACAACAACCAAAAACGATGATGACGATGATGGTAATGTGGCTGCTGATGCGTCAGGTGCTTTTGTTATCTCTTTGTCAATTTAAAATTCCATTTTGGGGTATAAAACAAAGGCCGAGATAAGGCGACGGACGCCACCAGGGGGGTATAATCACTACGGCATGGCATACATCAAGAGAACGAAAGGATAAATCAGCCCCAAAAAAATTCGTCAAAGATAAAACGACAGAGACAAAGAGTAGTGTGCGAAAGTGGTGCAAATGGGTAAATGGGGATGCATTCTAACGGTAAATGTAGATAGGTATTTCTTTTGATCTGCGACCAGGCAAAGGCAAACGAAAAATATAGAAATAATCCAAAAAGAGATAAAGAGAGAGAGAGAGAGAAACGTTCGGCACACATTACACAACACTGAACACTCACTAAGCCTATGAATTGGACTAAATCTGACCAGGCTGACGGCATGGTCCTGCATGTCATAGTTGCGCCGCCTGTCCCGCTCCCTGGCCAACTTTGCCCGCCGTCGCAGGCAGCAAATGACGATCAGCGCCAGTATGGGGAAGCCGAAGATGCACGACACGATCGGTATGACGATCGATTCGGGTGAAACTGAAACGAAGCAAAGTTGCGAGAGATAAGAACGGTGGAAAAAACAACTGACAAATGTAGCAAATAAAAATAGATTATACAGATATATAGACAGCTATATAAGCTAGCATTTTAAAGCATTAACTTCTAGCTCTGTTTGACATAGAGATTTGCCATAAGCGAAAGGATACATTTACGCAAAAGCCCGGCCGAACCTCTTCGGACTTGAGCTGCACATAAAAATCATTATTTATGCGGGTGGGCCGTGTCGCTTGGTATTCAAAGAGGAACAAAAGTGTTGCCTTTACGTGTACTCATCTGCCACAACCTGGCTTAACCCGCCTTAGCCACTGTTCCCTCATTAAGTTTATTTTTTATCTGTTCAATCTATCAAAGCGTGCCCCAACACGGCCTTCACTCAAAGCAACTTGGGATGACCTTTCCCAACAGAATCTCACACGGCGCACACCGAGCACCCTGACGTGGAATGGCCTTGCCAAATGTTGCATAAATGTTAATCGCCCCCGTCTTTGGTCATGTCGACAACACTCAGCCCTCCCGCAGAGCTCAGACCACAGACAAGAGGGCACAGGGCACAGCGAAATGGAGCCCCGTATTTGCCTAATTGTTGTGGTCAGCCGCACAAATGCCATCGCCTGTGCCAGGATTATTTATTTATATGTTTATTTTATCGCAATAACCGAGGGCCGTCGTTGGGGGGAGGGGAAACTCATGATTCCGGGCAAATTCCCATTTGCATGGCCTCACATTCCGGCCGGAAAGCGGAACACACAAAAAGCCAACTGCACAGCCGGGAAATGACTCGAAAAAGTGTACTTAGACAATATGAAATTTTGCACAACATTTTGTAAGCTTTAACTTGGGCAACGGCAACTTAATCTAAACTTGTGCTTGTTTTGGAGAAACTTTCCATACTCTCATCCGATTTGACACTTGATTTTGGAGCAGGATTAAATCTTGAACAAATGGTTAAGCCATTTAAGATGAATACTGGAACTTGGCTTTTGCCCATTTTGTGGCATCCTCTTTGCTCGTTTGTTGAATGTTTACTTCCTGCTTGAATATTCAACCTGTGCGGCTTTTACGAGTGACTCAAGTGGATGGGGATGCCGCTCCTTTGCCTTTTGCCTTTTGGCTTTGGCCCCATTGTACCACCCGCCACTTGGCGACCTAATTTAGCAGCCTCCGAGTGCTTCCACTCATAAGTCATTTCTCTCCAGCAAACCAACCAGTGGCGCCACAGCCAACGGTTGGCTCTAATCTAAGCCACAAAATCCATGGGCCAAATTTTTGTTTGTCGCAGCAAAAGCAAAAGCCAAACCCAAACCCAAAGCCAAAATGAAATCGGGGGACTCGACCTCTGAATACTCTGTGGGGAGAAGCCTCGCAAAGACTTGTTTTGTGATTGAAAAGCCAACCTTAAGGGCTCGAAGTGTCTGCTCTGAGATGCTCACACGATGATCGGGTGTCCTTAATGTTATGTTCAATGGAGTCATCGTCGAGCCAAGGGTTATCCCTCGCTGTGGGACACTCTCTGACACTCTCTTTTGGGTGCACTTAATGGCTCATCCCCGGTGCCAGCTTCTGACGCTTCTCGACTGACTTTATTCGATTAAGTTCGTGTTCGATCAGGGGCGTAGTCACCAAATATTTACAGGAGCTTCTTGCATCTCCCCCCGAAGCTGGTAGCTGATAGCTGGGAGCTGTCTGTAGGGAGTGCGCCACTGAATCCAATTAACGCCTTCAAAGTGACAGTTCAAATTTGCACAAATTGATGGGCGAATGGGAGCGGGCGGAGTGATGTCTAAAGTGCCTCCAATGGGTCCCCAATGGGCATTAGTTTGCCGTTGTAATCGCGAAGGAGCAGCAGCTGTACGCTGCTCCCTGCTCCCAGTCATTCACGCTGAGTCATCAGGCATCGTTTGATGCTTGAAAAATTCAATAAATACAATAAAAATAATGCTTCACCCGCGCACTCTTAGACAGATTTCCACTCTACCACGCCACGCCACGCCACGCCACTCCACTCCCGCCAGTCTGTCTCACTGTCTCACTCTCACTCTCTGGTCTTTGGTCTCGTTTTCTACGTATTTTTCCGACCCATTCATGGCTCCATGGCTTTCAATGGGAAATTGAATGTTTGCATATTCGACGTCGACAGTGGAATGCGCTACAAAGGCAACGCTCTCAGCAGCGGCATAGGCAATATATTTTCAGATACAAACAGACAGACAGACTAAGTATACCCACATAAATATATACCTACACAGATGGAGTCGTATGTAGGTATTCATTTTCGCATTCGCATTCGACTTTTCTCTTCGTTTTATTTGTTGTGTGCGCCATCAAAGTCAACCCAAAGATGATTGCGGTCTGTCCCAAAAAAGGGGGAACCACCGGAACCCAACTTTGAAGTCCCCAACTTTGATGATGATGCTTAAAGTTGCAAAAGCAAACGCAGAACTTTACTGTGTGTCTTTGATTCTGTTTGATTCTGTTCTGGTCGAGACATCGGAGAATAGTTCTAAGAAACTTTGCCAGTCGATCTATGCAAGAGCTAAAAGGAAACCTTTTTTTGGCATACAATCGAAGTCAAAGTCTCTGTACCAAAAGCATACCAAAAGTTTTCTTAATCTTATTTATAAAATATCAAAGTAATAATTTCAACCAATTGGTTTCAGTTCGTGTTTCAAAACCAATTTAATGTTCAGATTCGGATCTGTATATGTTTGATTTCCGGCCATGTCAAACCGTCTTCAATGCGTTGCCTCCATTGTTGGACCTATAAAGCGTTTAACTTAGTTATGGCTAGATTTCCATTTAAAGGACACGCCCGACTGGGGCGCCCTCAAGTGCCGCTCAAAGGTACATATGGGCTATGCTATGGGCTGTCCGGGAATCCAAGAGTATGCCGCCGAAGCCAAGTACAATGCATTGTTAACTTATCAATGGTGCCGAAGGACGTTGTCGCATTCATCGCATGCCTCTTACACCATTTTATCGGATGAATTTACGCTCGTTTTGTTCGCGAATCGTAATGGGCGGAGTTTGTTCTTGTTTTTGTTTTTGTTTTTGTTTTGTTTGCTGCTCCTGCCTTTTTTTTTGTTTTTTTTTTTGATTATTTCTCTCTTTTTTTTGGCAGCATCGGCGAAAAGTTCTTTCTTGTGTCGGGCATGACATGGCCCTCATGACACTCCGCCGACGGCCACACCCACAGCCTGAATGTCAGAGACGGGCGGTGGGGTGTGTAGGGGGGGAGCCCCCCTTCGAACGCTGCCATTGACGTGGTCGCTCTTCGCTGTCGATGCTAAGAGGATACACCCGACTGGGGCGGGGGACACAAGTGGAAATGGCAATGGCAATGGGATTGAGGCTGAGGCTGAGTCGGATAAGACTGAAGAGGAGTCGACAATGTCGTCGTCAACTTGTAGGCCGTCGCATGTCAGGGCGAGTGCTGTAGGGGGGCACTGGGAGGTAGTACTCTTAATAAAGACGACAGTGCCGCCGCTCCCCACCCTGGGCTCAGCGACCTTTACGCCTCTAATTTGTGAGCCGCTCCGGGCACAGTGCGACAAAAAAACAAGAGAAATGTTCAAAAAAGTAAATAAAAACGAGTAGGAATAATTTCAAGTCAAGGATACCCAAGGGACATGCTACATACACACAAGAATGAAGGTTAGCATGAGCCTTTTTGCTGCACATTGGGACATTTGTTGCAAAATTTTTGGGCACTTTCCTTTTGCTCACTGTAGAAGTAGGCTGCAGCCCGCCCCCAGCCCCAGCCCCAGCCGTGCGTACTCTCTTTTTCAATCTCATTCCCCCTGCTGGCACCCGCGACAGTTGCCTTAAACAATCAACAGCTACAGTCGAGTGAAACTCTTTGCAATTACTCTGACTGCGACTTAGCCTTGTCTAATTGCCGAAGGCGGGAGCGGGCAGCAGTCAGCAGGGGCGCGGCGCAGGAAAACTTTTCGATTGGCCTAAGCCTGCTGAAAGCCAGTCAAAGTTTGAAGCTGCCACCGAAACTATACCAAAAAAAAAGAAGAAAGAAAGAGCCATTCGGATATGTTGTCGGAGTAGGAGCAGCAGCAGAAGCTGAAGCTGAGGCTGGATCTGGATTCGTTGCGAATAATGAGGGCTCGGGTGTCATCTCATGCAAATTAACGCCAGCAACGCCAGGAAACAAATTGGGATGAGGGTTCTTCTTGGGTCTCTGGGTCGTGGGTTATGGGGTTATGGGGTCTTGGCTTTGAGTTCTGAGTGTGGCACGCGACCTCGTTGGATGACTGACTGCACTGATTTGATTATTGACAGGCGGCCAGAGCGGGGTGTCGAGTCTGACTTCCATTCATCCTGCAAACGCTTCTAATTAAGTTAATGCTGTGAGGCGTCAAAAGACCCAAGGGACTTGGGGAGTCCCAGATTAGGGGTTTATCTCTTGCAAAAAAATAAACAGCATTTTGACAAATTCGTTAAAAAATTATCCACTTATTTGGCTACAATTTGTTTGCCATTTTGTAGGTCTTTTGTGTGGAATGTGTGTGGAGTTAATAAGAGAAAGGACTTCCACTTTAGATATTTGAGTTTATGCATAAAACGGAGCACAAAGACGGATGTTACTTTATCGGTTCCCTCCAGAATGGAGGGACTAATCATGATGATTTGAAAAGCTCAACCCAGAAGAATTCCACGCACACTCTCTCTCGCTCTCGCTTTCAGCGGAACACTTTTCGTCTCTTCGCTTGTGTTCGCTTCTTCGTGTGTGTGGTTGAGCCGAGACACGATCGATCATGTCAACAGACAGACAGAAAAACGGTCTCTGCCGCTGCGCGCAGCCAAGCAATTGTGCATGGCGAAGCTTTTGTAGGAAGCTTTTGCTCTGCCGCTGCGGCGGTTCTACTGTGTAGATGTTGTTGTTGCACTCTCTGACTCTTCTGCACGAAAGACAAAGACAGTGTAGCTTACCGCTATGAAAACGTTTTACTTTGCCCCGATCCCTTTGTAACACTCACCCGTTGGATATACAACGATGGTCGTTGGTCGATTCTTGTTGCCGGCCGCTATGAAGGTGGCCACTGTCTGGGCCTGGAAGGTGGCCGCCATGCTGCTGGTGGCGGGCAGCGTGCTGCTCAGCACAGAGCTGGCCGCCGTGGTGGAGGACTCAATGAAACCGCTTAAATTGCCGCCGGGCAGGGCGCTAAATGCACTGTAGATGTCCGCCGGCTCTCCGCCTGCCAGGGGATGGAATGTGGCGTTGGCCAGCGACTGGTGGGACTGCGTCTTGGGTAGTGGCTGGAGCTGGTGCGGCGGCTGATCGATTCGCTGCCCCTGGGTCACGTCCACGTCAAGGGCCGCCTGCAGCAGGAGGGTGGGCAGGGGTGTGTGCTGGGCGGGATTGGCGCGGGCCATGGTGCCCAGAGTTCGGTTCAGCAGGTTCCTCATATTGCCTGTGGTGGCCTGCAGTAATTTGGTCGTTAGATTTGCGGTACGCGAGGGACTCGAGCTCTCTGCATTTGATTCCGATTCGGATTCTGATTGTGCCTCCAACTCTGGCTTCTGCACGGCATCATTCCCCACGGATTGCTTATTAATGATGTCGGGGGCACCGGCACCAGCACCGGCTCTGGGTCTGACTTCCCTGCTTTCTGCAGTTGTTTCCGTTGTTGCTGCGGCTGTTGCGGTCATATTGTTTAATAATTTTGCAGCATAATCGTAAATTTCAATGAGCATTTGTAGGTCCAGCTCCTCCGACTCCCCTGCCCCGTCAGCTGTCTGCAAGAAAAGTGTTGGTAAATGCCAGGGACTCTGTGCTCCGTTCTCTCTGCTAATTGCTTTAATGAATCACATTCCACAGCTGCATGGCGTGCATGTGTGTGTGTGTGAGGGAAAAAAAAGGAAATTTGTGGCAAAAGTTTGAGCCAACACCAACCAACCAACCAACCAACCCACCAACCAACCCAACCACCACTACCACCACGATTGATTGCAAGCGTGTGACCCTAATGAAGCATCCGCCGCGTTTGCCTAAGTGCTTCCCATCTGGACTGCTGTCGGGGCTCTGGCTACGGTTCCAGCTATGGTCCCAGCTCTTGTGGTCACACTACGCCGTAATCCGAGCACTCGAAAGAGTGGTTAAGCGTGCTGTTCAAGGCCAGAGAGAGAGAGAGAGAGAACGTACTGCCAGTCACCGCCACAGCCTGGACTGGAGCGTGGATTAACGTGTACGTTTATGTGGAAGAATTCTCTATATAAAATACCCCGAGAACCCGAAACCCAGAACCCAGAACCAGTGCCAGGAATTTGTAAAGTTTTACTATAGTTTATGGCTCCTCCGTTGCATATAAAATAACTGTGCGGTTTCTGTGCTTCAAAATACCATTGAGAAATATTCCTACGGCCTCCAAGCCCTTGTGCACACACGCCAAAAATAATAATAGCTGCCATTTGGTTATACATTTTTGCACCATGAAAATATGGAAACTGTAAGCCAAAGAAAACAAATTGAATGCTTTCTTATACTATAAACAAAATGAAGGAGCTGCGAGTGCAAACATATTTTCTATGCTAAGTATTCCGAGTGCCTGCCTAGAACCTCGATCACTTTCGATCAATCAACAAAAATAAACGAAAACTGTCTCTAAGAAAAACTCTTTAAATCAGTTCCATGCCAAGCTGCTTGCCCAGTAATGTCTGATAATTTTGATTGCATATTAAACGTGCACGGCCATAAAGCGTTACCCAATCTACGGCTTGGGCTGATTTCACAAGGGTCCCATGCCAGATTACAGATTTACGGTGTTGTTGTTTTTTTTTCTGCCTAAGCCTTAGAACGGCTCACACAAGTGGCTGACGTTTGTTGACTTTCAAAGATTTCCTAAGGGTTGGCAGCATTTAATTCGTTTTGGCCTCACCCTCAAAGCCACTTTCGCAATAAAAGTGCCTCACATTTTCCCCATTTGAAGTACGTAAAAATACCTGCAAAGGACTTGCCAAGTATGCAACGAGCACATGCGGATTATTTCAGTTTTATGTTTACTGTTTTCAGGGCCGCAGAACTTGCAAGCTGCTTATCTTCTGTCTAATTAAATGCTATTCGAGAATTACATATTTAAAGTACTTGCAACATTTTAATAAGAACAACAAATCCCTGTTTCTGCTTCTGTTTCTGCTTCTGTTTCTGTTGGATTATGTAAGCAAAACCCAAAATCTTTTCCGGACCCAGACAATCCCTCTGCAACTGTAAAAGTCCTCTCTGCCGCTCTTGAGCTAACAATAAAGGTCCCACAACCCATCCCATTCGTATCCCCACTTGTTGGGTCCACAAGAACACAAACATTGGAACCGGTGCCCAATGTCCGATGCTCGATGCCCGGTCTCTGGCCACTGGACCATCAAGTGAGCAATCCAGAAGAGCGAGCCTCGACTCCAGTGGCCCTTGAAACTGAAACTGAAACTGAAACTGTAGCGGGGTGCAGGGAGCGGATGGATGGATGGTTGGATGGATGGCAACGGGTGGACTAGGACACTTTGGCGACAACGGGCCATAAAAATATGTTAACTATTGCTTGGGGATGACTGCCAGTCACTGGACTGGCTTCATTAGGGCAAATCGAATGGAATCGAAACGAAACGAAACGAAACGGAGTAACCGTAGCCCCATTCCCACATGGATATTCCCCAGATCCCTTCGGTTAACACTGGTTTGCTTGGGCCCCCCCTTCCATGCATTGCATGGAATGCTTCTGCCCACCAGCACTGCTTCGTTGCAGCATATGAGCAGAGACTGCGTGGCTTTCCGTGGCCTGTCCCGCCGCATACCCTATCCACCAGGGACCAGCACAATTAGATGGGCAAGCACGAATCGTTTCTGGGATATGGACAGGCACGAGTCGCAGTCCAAGCTGGGGAAATGGCTGCGTATGGCATGGTATGGATACGGGAAGCACGTCCGGTCCTTCTGGGCGAGCACATGTCTGCTAGGATATGATTATAATGTACTTTGGAGTTTATGTTCGGTGGGTCGTTCGGTCGGTTGGCTGGTGCTTATTCAAATGTGAATCATACTTTAGCACTTTTCGCGTAGAGTCTGGCACCAAAAAATAAAACAGCAAAAAAAAAACGAAGCACACACGAGCAGGAAATCCAATGAAGACACGTACAAGCACAAATGGATCGCGTTAAGAGCCGGAATATCCGTTACGTTATCACTTTACGTTTATGCACGTCGTTCGACCGCTGCGCTGCGCTGCTGCTTCGCTGTACGTCGCTGCCGCTGTCGCTGCCAAATTGTTTTGTACCGTTGTTTTTGCGCTGCAGCCCGCTTTTATAGTCTGCCGCAAAAATGCCCCTTAAGAGCAAAATTCCCCCTCAATACATATGGGAAAATATCCCTTGTATTTATGTGTCTTATACAGCCAATCAAATCAGAGGGAATTTTCTCTTCACACGCCACGGCGCGCTGCCAGCTGACTTTTAGCGTTTCCTTTGCTCAAGGGATAAGTTTTTGTTCGCTCGATAAATATAAAAAGGAAATTGCCCGCTCGATATGTGTCTTATACCTGGAACCAAATGCCTGGGAAATTTTCTCTGAAAATTCAAATGAAGTTCGTTATTTGTTTCTGCGAAAGTGTTTAATGGAATTAAACGGAAAAATCCCTTTAAAGGCATATTTTTAAATTATTGTAGAAAGTTCATTCTGCGGATGAGCCCCACAGACCAGTGAAAACAAGGATTTCAGTAAAAGTTGATTGTGGGATCCTTTGAATGCGGCTTGCGGGTCAAGTGTGAGTTACCTTCGCCTGATTTACGACCTGAGTACCAGGCATCAACTACAAGCAACACGAACACTAACTGCAAACTACTGGCACAAGTAATTATTCAATTAAAAAATACGAATACAAGTCAATAAATGAATACTCTATTTGTATCAATTCATTTTCTTTATAATTAGCGTTTATTTTTGGAAAGATTCAACATCGAAGCGTCATCAATGGGAAAAACAAATCAAAGGTTTCCTGCATTTTTGATGCACAACATTCCGGATACCGGATAAACTCGCTGCTGTGTTGCTCCTTCAATGTGGGTCAAGTTTTCTGTTATTTTGCACTTTTTTAGCACATACAACGACCATGCCACTAATCAAAAGCAACAGTACATATTGTACATACATACATACATACATATGTATGTAAAATGTATATTCGATGCGGGTGAAAGTTGCCACTCGATACATTTTGCAAGCTCGAACACAGAAATAATTTCCAAAATAAATAATATTGAAATGCATTTAAGCGTGGCGTAGGGTGAGGTGAGGTATGGCTGACTACATGAATATTTCATGTATCTGTGTTGCGTTTACTTTTTACAAATAGAAAGTCAATTAGAGTGTCACTTCGAAATGCGTAAATGCAACAGGCATACACGTACAGCTGTGTGTGAGTTGCACTGATTACCTTCCCCACCCCAGCTCCCCCACTGCGCGCATCAAAATACAACAGGAATTCACAGAATGCCGTTCAATGCAAATTGCATTATGCAGCTGAAGCTCACTGAGTTACCGCTGCGTGTGTGTGCATGTGTGTGTGACCTCTGCTGCGGGCTGGCAGGTTCGTGTCTTCGTGTGCGTGCATTTCGGTATGTGCCCGCCCGATGATGTGATTTCCATATTGGATTTAATGAGCCTCGAAATACCCGCAGTGTACACACATTGAGGTGCATGCAGCGACGCAGATCAAATATGAGCGGCTTTCATTTGAAGGCTTTTAATACATTTACGAAATGCTTTCAAAACTTCATTAAAGTATTTATTGAAATGTGTCTGTGCATGTTGCTGCTTTTCTTTGCTTTGATTGACTGCAGCAAATGACGAATTCTGATTAAAGCTGCATTCTGTATGGCCATGCATCATCCGCCTGCTGTTTGGATCTGCATGAGAAGAAATGGCTGCTGGCAGAGATTGTGAATGGCAATGCAAATCCAATTTCTATGCTGAATGCAATCAATTATACATTTCTAAAAGCCAAATACCAAATGGACACTAACACTGACACAACACAACGCAACACAGCTGGCAGTGGCAGCATGTGGGCAAGTGGCAGGCAGGCAGGCTGTGTTCATTGTTCGATTTTGGATTTTGGATTTTGGATTTTACAAATTTAATTGCATTTGTTTATACGAACGTGCAGGTGTATGGAAAATCAGTTTTGCGCAAACAGAGGCCGAGCCGGAGAGCGGCACAAATGGAGTCGTCTCTACATTCGAACAATTGAACGCACGGAACGGAGCCACTCGTAATCATATTTGTGCAGGCCACCACCCCCGTCCTCCCCAGACTATTTGTGGTTTTTTCGGTAGATCTGTGTGCAATTTATTTATTCTACGATTATTCAACGGCCCACCCCATCACCCCATACCACATTCCACTGGACTCTGAGCATGGCAATGACATGTCTCGTTGGTAAGTTGCTTTTGTTTTCATGCACCGCAAGTGCATCTTCCATTCTGAAGAACATTCTGCAAAATGAAGATGGAAACTCTTCGAGCTAATGATTATTCAATTGTCGTCTTGGATTTGTTATTGCAATGAACTGCAGAGCCAAGCCACTACTGAGTGGCAGTTGCCTAAACTTGTGTTGTGACTTTAAGGAATTTAAAGCGTTGATTATCCATGCGGAAGATGGGGACATTCGTATTCCCTTTTTATGCACACAATTCAAATTTCTTCCCTGCATAACGGTGTTTCAAAAAGCACTTTACATCACTGCCAACAGGATGGTTCATAGCTGCACTAACAGACGACGCAAAAACTGTTATATGTTAGTCGATGCACCAAGTCGATCGCTGGAGGAAAAGTTAACAGGAACACTCGCTCCCTGCCGCCAGGGGGCTATTATTATATGTATAAAAGGAGTTATTTGTGTATGTGTATGTATGTACATATGATTATGATAAACAACAAACATTAACACGTACACACATACACACATACACACATGCTAACATACGTACATAAATATGTCGGTAGTGATGCCAAGCCAAATATTGATGGATGGCAGCTTTTTTTTTCGGCGTTCCTTAATATGTATGATGTTTTGTATATGATAAGAAATTTAAATGTTCACTAGATTGCATTTAATGAAGGTATTTTAATTATATCCAGACAATAGCCTTTATTACATACCCTCGAAAAAAGCTGCTTTCATTCAGCTATAACATTTCCAGAAAATAGCTAAATGGGCAACACTGACACTGTTGACATTGACAGTTGAAAAAGCTTTTTTTTTTTATTTGTAAATGAAATCGCAGAATAATATGAACAATCAGAATCAGTCGTGAGCGATCAGCGCACCGAGAATATGGCACTAAAGTTTGCAGCTAACTTGAATTTCCTCTTTACCGAGAAGGCGGCCACAATCGCGGAACGCATTCGGCTGGCCCACCAGAGCGGATTTCGGGCCGTGGAGATCCCATATCCCGAGGGTGAGACGCGGGACGTAGTGTCTGCGGTCCGGGAGACCGGAATTGTGGTCAGCCTTGTCAATCTAGCGTTTGATAAAAGCAGCGATCAGCTGCGGTTTGGCTCGACGAGCGTTCCGGGGTCGGAAGGCCTGTTCCAGAAGCAGCTGGACGAGACGATTGACTTTGCCAAGGATGTCAACTGCCAGAAGATTCACCTGACCGCTGGACTGCTCACCAAGGGCCAGGAGACTGCCTACACTAAGACGTACACATCGAATCTGAAGATCGCGGCCGATAGCCTCAGGGCGAACCAGATGATCGGCGTGATAGAGCCAATTAACAAGTATGCCGTGCCTGGCTACTTCATGAACTCATACGTGACGGCACTGGGCGTACTCACCGAGGTGGGGGCCGACAACATCAAGCTGCTGGCCGATCTCTATCATCTGCAGCACATACACGGCAATGTGACCAAGACGCTGGAGGAGTACAAGAGTCAGATTGGCCACTTCCAGATTGCCCAGGTACCCCATCGACACGAACCGGACACTGCCGGCGAACTCAACTACGACTACGTGTTCCAGCAACTGCGGGAGTTCGGCTACAACGGCTGGATTGGCTGTGAGTACAAGCCGAAGACGACGACAGTCGAGGGCCTCAGTTGGATCAGCAAACTCGGTTACAGCTTGTAAATGTTAATACATTCTTTTTATACACAAAGAAAAACATGAAACGCTCTTGACTTTCTCGCATGAATGTCACAGGGAGGTCACGGAGTTGACCTACAGCATGTTTGTGGAATAACAAAGCATCAGAATGGACACTTTTAACATATACAACGATTAGATAAGATTAGATAGTAAAGAGATAGTCGTAGACTAAGCAAGAAGTAGAGCAGCAGCCGCAAGAAGATTCTCTGGTATTCAATCAGCGGCCAATCAGTGGCTGTCCTTTTGTAGCACATGTCTGGCATACTCGGCTATGTGCAGGACACCCAACTCAGGCGAGGCAATGTGTAGATTATTGCCATTGCAGTACTCCGTGTTGATGTGCGGATTGTGCAGTTCTGTGATGAGCGTTGAACAGGCCGTTGATGAATCCCCCGTAGACTTGAGCATTTTCTGCAAATGGACAATGAGTTGGGAGATGCTTAGTGTGCGATTGTGAGGCATGGTAAGCGGTGCACCTACCATCCAGAACTCATTGCCCGGCAGGGCATTGCCGTCCCAGGCATAGGAGACAACCAGCAGCATATTCTCGTGCTCCGGACTGGAGAGCTTCTGGGCTGGATTTCGTTTGGAGATGTGCACGCGAATGCCGCCCGCTGGATGGCCGTCGGTCTTGATGACGGCGCCATTGTGCAGTCCCCCGCAATCGGTGAGGCTGAACCAGGAAAAGTGCACCACACCGATGTGGCTGAGGCGCTTGTCCAGCTCGCGGATTCGCTGCTCGAAGGTCTCCAGAAAGATGCGCTCCTGCTGTGGGGCCACTTTCCATACGCCAAGACCGAAGCCAACGACATGAATGTAGGCCTGCTTGCCGGCCTCTTGGGCGCGTGCCTGGGCCTCCAGCAACAGCATGTCAAAGCTTATGGCATAGCGCCGCTTCATCACCAAATTGTCGAAGATGTCCTGCTTGTTGCGCGAGACGCCGAAGCGCTGATGGTCGATGCTGACACCGGTGTACAGACTGTCTCGCGACTCGTAGAAGTTTCGCCAGAGGCGGCGATAGTCCTCCGCTTGGGTTGTGGCCGGCTCGTCCAGCCCCATGCCATAGCCATTCTCTGGCGTGTTCTGTGGGCGCGCGATGACAATGTCCT